GTCAATTACTCCAACGCAGTGACTCTTCACCTAGGCAACAACGGGCTACAAGAGATCCGAACCGGGGCATTCAGTGGCCTGAAAACTCTCAAGAGACTGCACCTCAACAACAACAAGCTCGAGGTATTGAGGGAAGACACCTTCCTGGGCCTGGAGAGCCTGGAGTACCTCCAGGCCGACTATAATTATATCAGTGCCATTGAGGCAGGGGCATTCAGCAAACTTAATAAGCTCAAAGTGCTCATCCTAAATGACAACCTTCTTCTGTCCCTGCCCAGCAATGTGTTTCGCTTTGTCTTGCTGACCCACTTAGACCTGAGGGGGAATAGGCTGAAAGTAATGCCTTTTGCTGGTGTTCTTGAACATATCGGAGGAATCATGGAGATTCAGCTGGAGGAAAACCCATGGAATTGCACTTGTGACTTACTTCCTCTCAAAGCTTGGCTGGACACCATAACTGTTTTTGTGGGAGAAATTGTCTGTGAAACTCCTTTTAGGTTGCATGGGAAAGATGTGACCCAACTGACCAGGCAAGACCTCTGTCCCAGAAAAAGTGCCAGTGACTCCAGTCAGAGGGGCAGCCATGCTGACACACATGTCCAAAGGCTGTCACCTACAATGAATCCTGCTCTCAACCCGACAAGGGCTCCAAAAGCCAGCCGGCCTCCCAAAATGAGAAATCGTCCTACTCCCCGAGTCACCGTGTCAAAGGACAGGCAGAGCTTTGGACCGATCATGGTGTATCAGACCAAGTCCCCTGTGCCCCTCACCTGCCCCAGTAGTTGCGTCTGCACCTCTCAGAGCTCAGACAATGGTCTAAACGTAAACTGCCAAGAAAGGAAGTTCACTAATATCTCTGACCTGCAGCCCAAACCTACCAGTCCAAAGAAACTTTACCTAACAGGGAACTATCTTCAAACTGTCTATAAGAACGACCTCTTAGAATACAGTTCTTTGGATTTGTTGCATTTAGGAAACAATAGGATTGCAGTCATTCAGGAAGGTGCCTTCACAAACCTGACCAGTTTACGTAGACTTTATCTGAATGGCAATTACCTTGAAGTGCTGTATCCTTCTATGTTTGATGGACTGCAGAGCTTGCAATATCTCTATTTAGAGTATAATGTCATTAAGGAAATTAAGCCGCTGACCTTTGATGCTTTGATTAACCTACAGCTACTGTTTCTGAATAACAATCTACTGCGGTCCTTACCTGATAATATATTTGGGGGCACAGCCCTCACCAGGCTGAATCTGAGAAACAACCATTTTTCTCACCTGCCTGTGAAAGGAGTTCTGGATCAGCTTCCAGCTTTTATCCAGATAGATCTGCAAGAGAACCCATGGGACTGTACCTGTGACATCATGGGGCTAAAGGACTGGACAGAACATGCCAATTCCCCTGTCATCATCAATGAAGTGACTTGTGAGTCTCCTGCTAAGCACGCAGGGGAGATACTGAAGTTCCTGGGGAGGGATGCTATTTGTCCAGACAGTCCGAACTTGTCAGATGGGACCATCTTGTCAATGAATCACAATACAGACACACCTCGGTCACTTAGCGTGTCTCCTAGTTCCTATCCTGAACTACACACTGAAGTTCCACTTTCCGTCTTAATTTTAGGATTGCTGGTTGTTTTCATCTTATCTGTCTGTTTTGGGGCTGGTTTATTCGTCTTTGTCCTGAAACGCCGAAAGGGAGTGCCAAGTGTTCCCAGGAGTGCCAACAACCTAGACGTAAGTTCCTTTCAATTACAGTATGGGTCTTACAACACGGAGACTCATGATAAAACAGATGGCCACGTCTATAACTATATCCCCCCACCTGTGGGTCAAATGTGCCAAAACCCCATCTACATGCAGAAGGAAGGAGACCCAGTAGCCTATTACCGAAACCTGCAAGAGTTTAGCTATGGCAACTTGGAAGAGAAAAAAGAAGAGCCAGCCACACTTGCATACACAATAAGTGCCACTGAGTTGCTAGAAAAGCAGGCCACACCAAGAGAGCCCGAATTGCTCTATCAAAATATTGCTGAGCGAGTCAAGGAACTCCCCAGTGCAGGCCTAGTCCACTATAACTTTTGTACCTTACCTAAAAGGCAGTTCACCCCTTCATATGAATCTCGACGCCAAAACCAAGATAGAATCAATAAAACCGTTTTATATGGAACTCCCAGGAAATGCTTTGTGGGGCAGTCAAAACCTGACCACCCTTTACTGCAAGCTAAGCCGCAGTCAGAACCAGACTACCTTGAAGTTCTGGAAAAACAAACTGCAATCAGTCAGCTGTGAAGGGAAATCATTTACAACCCCATGGCATCAAAAGATGCTGCTCCAAACTGTTGGAAGTACTGCATTTGCTTTTGTGTTTGTTTATGTTCTCCCTTTCCCAGTGTTGATGGGAGACTCTGGAAATATTTGGGAGATGGGGTGAAGCAATGATACTGCTTTTGCAAATTTTCCTTTAAATTATTTCTCTCTTGCTCTCCTCCCCTACTTTTTTTTTCTTTCTCTTCTCAAGAATCATCAATGAACATGAATGATTCTACAATGCATTTTTCATATGTTTTGGTTATGGTTTTGTTTCAAAACCATCTTGTTTTTGTAGTGTGGGAGTGGAAAGAGGAGATTATAGTGAATTAGGAAAGAATAAGCAAACTTTTCAAATGAAAATGGATATTTAGTGTATTTTGTAGAAGATCCCCAAAGATCTGTTGGGACTATAACTTCTTTTGTAAATAATGATATATGGTATTTCCATACTCAGTTATCAAGTATAGCCACTGGGCATCACTTCTTTGTGTTAAAGTGCCTTTGCACTTTAAGTACATTACTTAAATGTTGCTTTTAGCTTTGATAAATTGAACATATTTTAATGTGTTGTATTTTTGAAATTGAAAACACTGTAAATAGATTGATGTTTCAGCTATATTAAGTCAGCGTACAGTTTGCTTGAGTTATAGAAACCAGCCTGTCATCAAATGATTCTAGTTATAGGACTTTGTAGGCTTAACTATAAAATATTTCCTTTCCTCTGGGTTTATTCTAAGTGATTTTATTTAAGTCAACTAAGGGGATTTAATAATGGACTAGAGGTAATAAGCCACCTCAGTTGGGATTAATAATTCATTAATAAAATATATTTAACCCAATGTCAGAGTGAATTGAACAATTAATGCCCTTCCGTAAATCATTATTTTACACTAACATGGTCAGTGTTTTAGATTATTTTCCTAATTAAGAGTACATTACACAACTTGTAATATATTTTTTCTGCATTAAATTAGATATTTTTATATATTTAAATGAAAGAGTCTGTATTTCTAACTTTTTAATTGAAATTAGTATTTTTTCTGCGATTGAAACATTTTCTATAAACACACACCAGTAGAGGCCGCCACACACCTCATTTAACAAAGACATATGAGCCATTCAATACCTTGAAGGAAGACTTCAAAGGTAAAATTAAAACTCCCCAAGTAAGTTCTCTGCAAATTCAAGGCAACGGAGATAAAAATGTGTATATTATTTTCTATTTCTTTTAGGATCGAAGGTTAGACTCAGAATCCTTCTCAATTTTCACATTTTCTGACAAAGCAGCATTTTCCTCTTGAGTTTAATTGAAGCATTAACGGGGTGCTATCAAATCATGTACTATTTGCATCTCCAAAGCAGTTAATAGTTACTTAAACCAAGACAGTAAGCATCTTTTTCCTTCTGCCTTCTTTAGACGTTGTGTTACTTGATTTTTCCTTGTCAGCTTATGCAAGCCTTTCATTTTGGTCTTAGCATTAAAATGATTTAACTAACCAAGTCTATATAACATTTATGAAGCCTTATTAGCCTGTAGATAATTTTTAGATGCAAACGTTATTGTGTGATTTAAACAAACAGCCCTTCTTTACAACAAAAAATAGTTTTGTTTTGTCTATTGTAAATCCTTATGCAACTGGGATGGTGATCTGCATATAAAGTAGTCCAGCTTTTGAATTCCTTATTAAAGCAAGTGATGGCGTCTGAAAGAAGCACACTGTTTCCTTTTCATAAATAGGTTACTGCACATAATAATCCTTTATTATCATGTGGAGATTAAAGTGGATCCTGATAACTTACTTTTAAAGCTTTAAAATGACTAATAGTTCATTGTCTGTCACTATAAACAATTCATGTGATAGGTTTTCAATTAGAAATAGTTTAAATTCAAATTATTTGGATTAATAATTACTGGTGCAAAATAGATTTTTTTTTAAAAAACAATAGAAGGTAATTGTGTGTGTATGTGTGTGTGTGTGTGTGTGTGTGTGTGTGTATAGAAAGTGTATTCAGGAAAAACAATACCTTTAACAATCTAAAATCTCTGAATATCTACAGTGGCACCTAACATGTTTATTCTTTGATTAGAGATAATAATTCTTATTTTAATCCATTAGATCAAAGTTGAAAATGGTGAAATTATGAACAAGAAAGTTAATGTACAGAGATTTTACTTTTCACTGAAGAGGAGCTAGAATATAATGCTAGTTGAACTTGGAGATGGCTCCTGGAAACCACTTTGTCTTTGAGTGAAGCATTTATATATAAAAGAGTTTCAAAAATCCTCTTTTGGCTTTTCTCATTTGGTGCAGATAAATACAGATACAGAGCTAGGTATTTTGGGAAGTGATTATGAAGGCAAATGAGCATACATATTTTCTCTTAAGCTAGTCTTCAGGCTTAAACTGTATGACTAAAGATATTAATGTAGTGATTTCACTTCAATGTTTGTTCTTGTTCTTTTGAAAGTAAAGTCACTCCGGTAAAATATCCATAGCAAATTTAACTCATTAAGCTTAAAGAGAGATACCTTAATATTCATTTAGTTGCATGGATTTTAAAGAGGCCTCCTGGAAGAACTCAAATCCATAAACTCTTTTGCCTAATAATTATAGTTTAGTTCCATATTCTCATGCTTCTTAGATTTGTATTTTATTTGCATTAGGTTTTCAGATGAAATCATTTGAATGTAGTCCAGACTATTTCATTTAAAATCATAATACACCATATACTTTGAAGTTTTATTTTCTAATGCAATCATAAACATGTTAAGTTTTATTAACTTAGTAGCATCCCCACTGACTATATTCTATTTTCCTTTATGTGCTCAAGCACTTTCAAACATATTTTATTTTAGGATTTTTATTTTTATCTTCCACAGCTGGATTTTGTTGTTTCACTTTTATTTCAGATGCTGCTTGTAAGGAGTATGAGCATCATCACAGTGAAATGTTTCTAGCCTACAGAATGCCCTACAAATGGCAAATGGTAATTCCCTTCTATTCTAGCTCTTAATTATTGCTTTCACTGTTTCTGAATATACCTGTGGCTAAATTTGTATTGAAACACTCAAAAGTACCACTTCTCAGTCTGGACACAATTGCCAAGAGTCTAATTTGGTTTTGGACTTCGGTCAACCTGTGTGCCTTGTTAGTTCTCTCTAGCAGTTGGTGAGTAAGGAAATGACCCTTCAATTTCCTCTTCTTTGTCCTCTGACCTCTAAGGTGACTTAATTTTTCTAAATGTTTCCAAGTCATCAATATTTTTCCAAGGGCTCAATATTTTATGAATTTTACAAACAGTACATAAAGAGTAAGAGAGGTTCTATGATTTTTTAGACTTTGAAAATTCATTTTTATTGTACAAATTCCAGAAACATTCTGGATTGGATCTTAGAGTGAAGAAAGCCTTCCAGACAATTCACCTAATCCATTCATTTCTTCATTCATTCATTCAATAAATAGATATTGAATGCTTGCTTCCTAAGTACCAGGCTCTAGTCTGTGTGCTGAGGGAGCAGAGATACAGTGGGCAGGATCTCCATTTTTCCCTCCCCACTCCACTCCCCTCATCCCCACCCTACCCCATACTACCCACCCTCACCCTGGCAAGACACTTAGTGATGATAAAGGAGAACTTTACCTGAATGACAATCACCCAGAGTAAACAAACAGTAATGCAATGTAAGAGGTTAAGTTTTTAAAGGTAATTCTGTGCAATGAAGTGTAAAACTGAACTATCATAAATAGTCTAGCTACCGTGTAACAACTATTATCATCTCTTTGGAGTTACACAGCAAAACGGAATAAAACCACCAAAATAAAATAAAATAAAACAGTTTCTACAGAATAGGGTCTAGTATTATGGCCTAAAGATAGCCATATACTTGTGCTATCTAAAGATCTATTTTGTAAAGATGACTACCAAGATTGTAAATACAAAAATCACAAATGTACTTAAATTTTCTGTAATATCCATGTTTTAGAGGCAATATTTACTTCATATTTAAGTGGCTTAAAAGATAATATTTTGGCTTAAGTGTCTTTCACCAATACAATGATAAGATACTTACCTTAATACTGACAGGGAAAATTAAGGATTGTATATAGGTATATTTTGCTTCACAATGGTCATGTAAAAAGTCACACATAAATGAAATTTCATAAACCAAATTGTATTTTAAATGCATTAGGGGAGCTGCCATTTAGAGGAAACTTCTGAATTATTTTCTAAAGCAGAAAACCCATTTTATAATACAAAGAATCATTCTCTAATTTATCTATTTTGTATATTTGGATTTTCAACATCAGCTTTGCTTAAAACAGAGCCCCCACCTGCATAATAAGTGTCTTCTGCCAAGGCTGCTTGTGCTACAAGTTTGTTGGTTGCCAAGGTCTCATGCTTGAAAGTCTGTTGCAGTTTGGTGTGAATTGAGCTATCAAGTGATTCTATGATGGCACAGTAGCATTTCTGAACAGTCTGAGTAGTCAACCCATTTTAACTTGATTGAACGCAGGACTCCTGCTCAGCAGCATCTCTTATCTCAGATGTGGCCATGTTTCAGTAGAGGGTAGAGTGACTCCTGTATTCATATTCTATAAAGTTCTTAGAGTCACAGGTTTCATAATAAATATATGTTATTATGTAAACGTATTGAATTGCATGTGTATTGGAATTTTTTAGCAGTATTTTAGCTTGAAAGTACTTGTATAAATACTGTTAGATTTAGTTTGAAATAATTGTTCTCAAGTTATTGGAATAAATGGCAAATGAAACAAGCTCTCGTGTAAATAGACTTCTGTGCCAAATAGTGACATTTTTTTTCCAAACAATAAATGTCATATTTTGGGCTGTTAATAGACAAAATGCAATATTGGAAATGTGATAAAATGATATCATATTTTATTGAATAAACTGTTCACACAGTTATTTTATACTGTAGTTAGCTTTCAGTTAATAAATAAATATTCTCTAAAAATAAATCTTTAAATTAGTTAGAAACATTCTTTAAAATCTGAAGAGGAATTAATGACAAAATATTGTGGGAACTGTCCTTTTTGCTTTGGAATGTTTACAAATTAAAGTTTCAATTCTTTATATGATGATAGTTTACATGTTTAAGGTAAAATGCTTTTTAAAAACATATATTAATACTTTTCCATGAATATCCATTAGTATCAGACTTAAAAACTTACAAGTAAACAAAAAAAATAATTCAAGTAATCTAAGAATTGAAGGAATGTTTACTGAATCTCCACTATCCCCACCACACACACATACATCCACACCAAAACCAATTGTTTTTTATTATAAAATTCTAATATGACAAGGGATCTAATAAATTTATATTTTATAAAATAAGACACAGACTGACTCACAAATCAAACAAATAGAAATTATGAGTTCATTAATAGAAATGCTATAACTATATTCCCAAAGACTAGAGTTAGAACAAATAACAAGGGAGAGAAAGGGGAGGGGTTCCTTTGTTCCTGTGATTATGGTGATATTATAGCAAAGTGAATTCTCTGGCTATCTGCATTTGGTTTGACATTAGACTATATCTGCCAGGTATGCCCATTCACAAATGTATAACACAACAAAGGAATTGTGGTTCCTGTGATGGACATGAAGACTTAAAACAAATTATCCTCCCTTAAGATTGCTAATAAATGCATAATCTATTCAGTTTATTCACGCAGCCTTCATAGGGTAGCTGAAACAATTCGAACAGCCACATTTTAAAGTGTTTTATTGAAGTATGAGAACTGGTGATAGTACACCAGATCATTAGATCCTTTAAAAAGATGAGTTGAAATGAAATGGGAATAAAAGTAATGTACAGCTCTCCATTTTGAACACATGTAATATAAAATATTAAGCTCATAGTGTGTCTGTTTATACTGGCAAAAAACCATCAAAATAGATTTTGTCATTCTTGGACAGGGGCTGAAAATGTACCTGATCAGCGTTTGCCTGGGCAACTGCTTTGTAATTAGCTATGAATCATTTTTGTTAATTACACTTTAAGATATTATTTTGTTTGCTATCAACATTTACCATAAAAAAAAGAACATTTGAGCTAGTTATCTGTCAGACTGTTACCCGGCATTTTGGGACATTTAGATCCTGACAGAATGCGGGATACAGCATACAACCTAAGGTACCTTTGAGCTGACAAAGTGACTGTCAGGCAGATAGGATTGGTGAATGGAATCTCCTGGGGTAATCCTCAGGTAATGGGTAATCCTTGGCCAAATCCCTCACTTCTCAAGCCTCTTTTACTTTCATATCGTTAATATCTAACATAGTGTTTGCAGCATAATACCTAACTCTCCAATAAGTATTTCTTTAATGAATAAATTAAGCTCTGGTTCTCATATGAACACTGAAGAAATGGTTGAAAACTGGAGGATCTAAGTTTAAAGCATAATTACAATGGGTTTTTAGCTGTTCCAGGAAGTATTAAATATTTAGTTCAAACATTTTCAGAACTTATGAGAAACACAAACACACAGGCACACACACAGATACAGACATAGACACACACACACACACACACACTATGAAAATGACAGGGAAGTATAGTAACACACAAACAAGATCTAAAGTTTATTACATGCAGGGAGGCTCGATTTTAAGTGATACTGGGGTCTGTCCATCGAACCCAATGATCTCATTCTACAATTAAAAATAGCTTTACTGCTGAGCTGTGAGATTGCCATGTTATTGGCTTTTGGAATTGGGACATTATAAGTTGAGCGAAAATGCACTCCTTGATAAACTTGAATGATGAATTCTTCCGGGGTTTATCATTTGGTTCTTCCTCTGGCTATGTGTATTTGATTGGTTTGTTTCTTAAGTCTTCCAGATAGAAGAGAAATTCTTTGGGTTCAAGACCATATAAATCATATTTTGGTTAGAATAAGGTTGTTTCATAAAGTCCAGTTTATACAAAATAAGAAACTACAGGTGGTATTCCACAGCGAAGAGTCCTAGGATCTGAGGGTCTGATCTTAGTGTGGTTATAAAGCTGTGAAGACAACTTATGGCTCTCACTGGGGCTCAGCTTTCCTATCGGGGAAGACTGGATGAACTCCATGGACACATCCAACTTAGTGCTCTATGATTCTAGGCTACTTTGGGAGTGGATGCTACCCACAAAAGAAAGCAGGGCATTGAGACAATTATTATTTAAGCCTGAAAATTTCTTAAACCCCTTCTCTTTTCAGTTGTCTACTTTGGATATAGCCCTACTCTGATTTTATTTCTACAGGACTCCATTTGCCCTTTTGTCTTAGGTTACTTTCTATTCATAAACTTGAGTTTAAAAAGTTTAAACCATTTTTCTTATTTGTAAATCACAACATCCTACTGCTTTTTTGGGGGGTGAAATAGGTAGGTTTTCCATTTATCTGTTTTTCAAGGGTGTTGTATTTTTTTGATGAATGAATTTAGTTAATCTGTGTGATAATTAAGCAAATTAAGCTATGAGTTAATCTAGGAAGATCACATTATCACATTTCATGGAAAATAGTATTTTCCCTTGTAGTGTTTCATCACCCCACCCTTTTAGCCAACACTGCCAAGTTGCTTATCATCAGGGAGACTGACAAACCCTTGGACAATTCAGTTGAGCCTCAGAAATTCAATGATGCATTCTAGTGAGCAAAGCTCTTAGCAGACAAGTGGTGTTTGGTCTCTTCCTGGTCATAAACTTCAGCCACAGTTTTATTGCTTGGCCAATGTGTCTCTATCTGGTCAAATAGATTTTAACTTGAAAGAAATAAATCACTCAATCTTGCAATATTTAACTGTCATGATCTTTTTCGAGAGTGGAAAAGAAGAAAAAGCTTCCATTCAAAAAGTTTCTCTGTTTTCTGGAGATTTATGAGAGGCTTATTAAAAGCATTAGTGAATGAAAGGAAAATCCAGCTACACTTTGCTGTGTGTTTTCTTTTGTCATGTTATGGAATATTATGAAAAAG